CACTCCACATTATATAACATACAGACACCTACCCACACTCCACATTATATAACATACAGACACCTACCCGTACTCCACATTATATAAAGACACCTACCCACACTCCACATTATATACCATACAGACACCTACCCACACTCCACAGTATATAACATACAGACACCTACCCACACTCCACAGTATATAACATAGAGACACCTACCCACACTCCACAGTATATAACATACCGACACCTACCTGTACTCCACAGTATATAACATACAGACAACTACCCGTACTCAACAGTATATAACATACAGACACCTACCCGTACTCCACATTATATAAAGAAACCTACCCACACTCCACATTATATTACTTAGTGACAACCTACCCGTACTCCACATTATATCACATACATATACCTACTCATACTCCACATTATATAACATACAGACACCTACCCACACTCCACAGTATATAACACACAGACACCTACCCACACTCCACATTATATAACATATAGACATCTACCCGTGCTCTACATTATATACCATACAGACACCTACCCGTACTCTACATTATATAACATACAGACACCTACCCACACTCTACAGTATATAACATAGAGACACCTACCACACTCCACAGTATATAACATACCGACACCTACCTGTACTCCACAGTATATAACATAGAGACACCTACCCGTACTCCACAGTATATAACATAGAGACACCTACCCACACTCCAGAGTATATAACATACCGACACCTACCTGTACTCCACAGTATATAACATAGAGACACCTACCCACACTCCAGAGTATATAACATACCGACACCTACCTGTACTCCACAGTATATAACATAGAGACACCTACCCGTACTCCACATTATATAACATACAGACACCTACCCACACTCCACATTATATAACATACAGACAACTACCCGTACTCCACAGTATATAACATAGAGACACCTACCCGTACTCCACAGTATATAACATACAGACACCTACCCGTACTCCACATTATATAAAGACACCTACCCACACTCCACATTATATTACTTAGTGACAATCAACCGCATTCCACATTATGTTATATAATTACACCTAGCGCACTCCACAATGTATTACAGCGACATTGGACATCACATTATATTTCATTGAGAAACATATTCTAAATTATTTTATACAGACATTTCAACATATGTACACTCCACATATCAAGAGGCACTTGTATATATATACTCCATATGTAGTTATATTATTACGCCCACTGCTTAGAGTTTTTTTCTTCTAATGGCCGTTTTCAAACAGAACTTAATGTCAGAATTTAATTACTCACTGATAAAGAGTTAAATGGTAATAAGATCAGCTTAAATGTAAATGTAATAGTGTCGGCACGAGAACCGAGAACTCTTATCTTTGATTACTGTATTATTTTACACTAAAGCCGTTCTCACGATTAAAATGCCAACCCTTTATAACAACTAGTGCCTGCTGTCCGTCGGTCACTGGTGGTGTGGTACAGAGCGATGGCGTGAGCAACCCCTTTAAGCATCTCACAGTACGCTAACAGCCTCTCAGCATGTACATACCTTTGCCCGAATTCCAAATCTACATTCTAAATGCAGTTTAAACAATTAAAAGTCTGTGGGAGTGAATTATTTCCATTTCAGTTCTAATCCAAATGTTTTTCACTCACAACTATCCACTGTCTATGTCACATGGCTATTAACGAAGCCCATCATGGTTAAAAGGCCTGTGAGGTTGTATATGTATATCAGCACTTTGTTTAGGTGTACCTGCGCCTTACAACACACCTGTACGTCTACTCGATGGACTAAAGGTAACGGGTAGAAATCCAATCACTAAGTCACGAATGTGTATTACCCGCGCCGTCCAATCAATGGCTCATACGGCTGCGGTTAGGTCTAACAGTACTGTGTGGCGAGGCTTCTTTTGTCCAACACTATACAGCACGCCATTAAAGTAACTCTCAGCCTTAAGCTTTCTCCGATACTCCGGACAAAACCACACAATGTCAGGCGCTCCGACACACGTACAAAGCTACACTGGGAAACGGCAACGGATACAGCATTTGTTCGAAAGCTTAGGGAGCTCAGGCTCATTACAACATCCTCATTTAGGGTTGAAACACCCAAACACTCAAACACTAAACACCCAAATTACCATTTAAAAAAATATATGCTGGTAAGCTTTTGGGAGATGAGGTAATTAAGTTTTCGTGGGGATAGAGAACCCACCCCTCTGCAGTGACTACTACACTAAGGTAGTCTACTAATCTGACGTCATCCGCGTACAAATGTTGGACAACTCGGCTATATCCACGGATCTTAGTTCACCGAGGAGGTCAACAGGATCATTACAGTTAGCAAAAGTATACCCGCCTTGTTCCGGCTTAGAATTGGCCATAATCGGATCTGTGCTATATGGTTCGAATTCTAAAGAAATATTTTTATATGTAGTTAAACTCCTTAGCTATAGTCTTTTACACAAGTGACCCCGATCAATAGAACGTACCCATAATCAAACTGATCAAAGAAATATACCTATAATGAAAATCAGACCGATCCACCTATCAACATAGAAGACTGTATTGTAGTGTATATACATATTGTGGTAAAATCATCTATACCCGGCACAAAGAATATACACTATGTCGGGTTCACGGACTCGGATAATAAACAGTGATTTTGACGTGTCTCAGTGTAAAGCCAGCCTCCGACTGCCCGAAAATATAACGTTAACACTGACGATTTTTTCCAAATTCATTTCTGTCATTGCGCTTCCATTTGCTCTAACGACCTAGTATTTGATAACATTATTTAACATATTTTGCAGATACATCATATTCTTGGTAAATCGCGACTGGATTGAACATTTTGATTTTTTTTCACGAGTGCATAGAGCAAATCAAAATTGAAATATGTTTAATCCATTAGTGTAATATTACTGTTATTCATCACGAAACTAAGAATATTTTATCAACTTCGTTTTTTTCTCTCTATATAACGACAGTGGCTTCCTAAACAGAAATTTCATCTCTCGCAAACAACGATGACAATACGACAGGGTATGCTAACGAAGTCCAAATAATATAACGTGATGGTTATTGTGACATTACAATTGACAATGCCTATTGTTTGATGGTTTCACGCTAAACACTGTTTTTTGATTGGTCAGTTAAGTATGAAAATAACGAAAATGCGTTATTTGTAACTATAGAAAATATCAGCTTGATTTTCACAGTAAAACCTTTTATTACGTTCCTGGCGAATCCTATCAAGCGAATAGCCATATTCTATTCGGGCCAGGCTATACCAGATTCTATGCATCACACAATGATACTAAAACACAAGGGGTGTATTATCCCGGAGAAGCCAGTACTCCGTTTTGGCTGGATTGCGCGAGGGTACGCTAAGCGCTCGTGACTTATATCAACACATTATGTGTGGTTTTGTCTATACATTTAACTTGTTGTTATTATTTCTGTATTTTCAATGATGAGAAATATTAAAAATTAAAAATGTTTCTATATTTTATTATTTATCATTATCATTGATTTTACACCCGGGATGAAAAAGAAACATTTATGACAAAATGAAGACCCTCTTCACAAAGGTGAACATTATCAATCCGACTCGAACCAACAGCAATCGAGGTAGAAGGTTATCACGTGTCGAGGTAGAAGGTTATTCCGTCAGACACATCACTTATGTTGTAAGGTTATGAGGGCAGAGCATCACTTATCATAGACAATCATGAGGGCAGAGCGTCACTAATGATAGAAAGTTACGAGAAAAGAAGCGTCACTTATGTTATAAAGATATGAGGTCAGAGAGGCACTGAAGTGTACAAAGTTACGAGGGCAGAGCGTCACTGACGTTATACAGGTATGAGGGCAGATCGTCACTTATGAGGTCAGAGAGTCACTGATGTGTACAAAGTTACGAGGGCAGAGCGTCACTGATGTTACACAGTTATGAGATCAGAGCGTCACTTATGATAGAAAGTTACGAGAAAAGAAGCGTCACTTATGTTAGAAAGATATGAGGTCAGAGAGTCACTTCTGTGTACAAAGTTACGAGGGCAGAGCGTCACTGATGTTATACAGGTATGAGGGCAGAGCGTCACTTATGAGGTCAGAGAGTCACTTATGTTACAAAGTTATGAGGGCAGAGCTTCACTTATGTTACAAAGTTATGAGGGAAGAGTGTCAATAATGTTAGAAAGATATGAGGTCAGAGAATCACTTATGTTACATGTACAAAGTTATAAGGGCAGAGCGTCACTTATGTTACAAAGTTATGAAGGAAGAGCGTCACTTATGTTACAAAGTTATGAGGTCATAGAGTCACTTATGTTACAAAGCTATAGGGGCAGAGCGTCACTTATGTTACAAAGTTATGAGGGAAGAGCGTCACTTATGTTACAAAGTTATGAGGTCAGAGAGTCACTTATGTTAGGCGATTTTGAGGTCAGAATGTCACGTGTCTAGGAAATTTTACGAAGGCAGAGTGTCACTTGTGTTAGAAGGTTATGATGAGGGCTTAGTGTCACTTATGTAAGAAGGTTATAAGGGCAGAGTGTCACTTACGTAAGAAGGTCATGAGGGCTTAGTGTCACTTATGTAAGAGATTAAGGGCAGAGTGTCACTTATGTAAGAAGGTAATGAGGGCTAAGTGTCACTTATGTAAGAAGTTTATGAGGGCAGAGTGTAACTTATGTATGAAGATTGAGGGCAGTGTGTCACTTATGTAAAAAGGTTATGAGGGCAGAATGTCACTTATGTTACAAGATTTTGAGGGATTAGTGTCACTTATGTTAGAAGGTTATGAGGGCTTAGTGTCACTTATGTAAGAAGGTTATGAGGACAGAGTGTCAATTATGTAAGAATCTAGATTATGAGGGCAGAGTGTCACTTATGTAAGAATGAAGATTATGGGGGCAGAATGTCACTTATGTAAGAAGGTTATGAGAGCAGAATGTCACTTATGAAAGAAGGTTATGAGGGCAGAATGTCACTTATGTAAGAAGGTTATGAGGGCAGAGTGTCACTTATGAAAGAAGATTATGAGGGCAGAATGTCACTAATGTAAGAGGGTAATGAGGGCAGAGTGTCACTTATGTAAGAAAGTTATGAGGGCAGAGTGTCACTTATGTAAGGAGGTTATGAGAGCAGAATGTCACTTATGAAAGAAGGTTATGAGGGCAGAATGTCACTTATGTAAGAAGGTTATGAGGGCAGAGTGTCACTTATGAAAGAAGGTTATGAGGGCAGAGTGTCATTTATGTAAGAAGGTTATGAGGACAGAATGTCACTTATGTAAAAGGTTATGAGGGCAGAGTGTCACTTATGTAAGAAGGTTATGAGAGCAGAATGACACTTATGAAAGAAGGTTATGAGGGCAGAATGCCACCTATGTTAGAAGGTTTTGAGGGCAGAGTGTCACTTATGAAAGAAGGTTATGAGGGCAGAGTGTCATTTATGTAAGATGGTTATGAGAGCAGAGTGTCTCTTATGGAAGACGGTTATGAGGGCAGAGTGTCACTTATGTAAGAAAGAAGGTCATGAGGGCAGAATGTCGCTTATGTAAGAAGGTTATGAGGACAGAATGTCACTTATGTAAGAAGGTTATGAGGGCGGAGTGTCACTTATGAAAGAAGGTTATGAGGGCAGAATGTCACTTATGAAAGAAGGTTATGAGGGCAGAATGTTACTTATGTAAGAAGGTTATGAGTGCAGAATGTCATTATGTAAGACGGTTATGAGGGCAGATTGTTACTTATGAAAGAAGGTTATGAGAGCAGAATGTCACTTATGAAAGAAGGTTATGAGGCCAGAGTGTTACTTATGAAAGAAGGTTATGAGGGCAGAATGTTACTTATGTGTAAGAAAGTTATGAGGGCAGAATATTACTTATGAAAGAAGGTTATGAGGGCTTAGTGTCGTTTATGTAAGAATGTTATGAGGGCAGAAAGTCACTTATGAAAGAAAGTTATGAGGGCAGAGTGTGACTTATGAAAGAAGGTTATGAGCGCAGAAGGTCACTTATGTAGGTTAGGTTATGAGGGCAGAATGTCGCTTATGAAAGAAAGTTATGAGGGCAGAGTGTGACTTATGAAAGAAGGTTATGAGAGCAGAATGTCACTTATGAAAGTAGGTTATGAGGGCAGAATGTCGCTTATGAAAGAAGGTTATGAGGTCAGAATTTTACTAATGTAAGAAGGTTATGAGGGCAGACTGTCGCTTATGAAAGAAGGTTATGAGGTCAGAATGTCACTTATGAAAGAAGGTTATGAGAGCAGAATGTCACTTATGAAAGTAGGTTATGAGGGCAGAATGTCACCTATGAAAGAAGGTTATGAGGGCTTAGTGTCACTTATGTAAGAAGGTTATGAGGTCAGAATTTTACTAATGTAAGAAGGTTATGAGGGCAGAGTGTCACTTATGAAAGAAGGTTATGAGGGCATAGTGTCATTTATGTAAGAAGGTTATGAGGTCAGAATGTCACCTATGAAAGAAGGTTATGAGGGCATAGTGTCATTTATGTAAGAAGGTTATGAGGGCAGACTGTCGCTTATGAAAGAAGGTTATGAGGGCAGAATGTCACCTATGAAAGAAGTTTATGAGGGCAGAATGTCACTTATGAAAGAAGGTTTTGAGGTCTTAGTGTCGTTTATGTAAGAAGGTTATGAGGGCAGAATGTCACTTATGAAAGAAAGTTATGAGGGCAGAGTGTTACTTATGAAAGAAGGTTATGAGGGCAGAATGTCACTTATGTAAGACGGTTATGAGGGCAGAA